ACAAGAGATAAAAAGAACGAGAAATGACCGAGAAGGTTCCACATAAAAATGGAAATGACGGGTCCCTATGTCTATAAATCATTGTTCGCTGCGGATGCTGGGTCATGTCAGAATGGCTGGATTTGCCGCGACGCTTGTCTGTTTCCCACCAACAGTTCTTGCTGCTCGCTACAACAACCGGTGGAGAACGGTTAGGCTTCGCGCCAAAGCCAGTCGGGACTGTGCAACGAAGGAAAATCACAATCATGAAAGCTTCACGGTACCTTCATCAGCCTTCGCATGAGCCGTCGACTCGGGTTTTCCTTTCCCACGTTCCCTTCGGTTCCTCGTTGGCGGTCCTTTGTCAGGCTTGCCAGACGAAGGCTTCTTTTCCACAGCTGCCGGCACTTTTTTTGCATTCGCAAAGAGCCTGGCAAGATGATCAGCCGCTTCCGCCTGGTCATCCTTCAGCGATGACTCTTTTGCTGTATCCTTTCTCGCACTGAAATTAGACGTTATTCGAACAGTTTGGTTCAGAAATACCTCTGAAATTTCGGCCAACCTTTCTGACGTACGCCCTTTCTCGTCAGCAGTTGTGCGTGAAGATCGCAGACCCCACCCGCGTGAACTATTCTTCACCTCAATAACACCACCTTTTCGCTCTGCATTCGGAATGTCGTAACGATCGAAACCTGATCGTACTGTACGTCGTCGTTCCTAAAAAGCACACCTGAATCACTTGCGAACTTGTGCACAAGTGAACTCACAGCTTTTCGTTGGGCTTTAGCGTCCATTTCTTTGATGATATACTGGGTTAATGGAGTGGGTTGAACAGCGGATGCTGAAAAGACTATTTACAGCTCCTTCGGCCATCAGTTTGAAAAGCCTTCAGTTGGCTTTAGACGATCAGCTGACGACCCCAAAAACTATAGCACTGCAACTTTGGAGACATACTGATAAACCCTCCAGGGAACGAGGCTGTAGGGTAGTGTTACCCGAGTGCCGTTTCCATACTTCGCCTTATGCCGCACGGTGAGCCAGGCGCCTAGCCATATTCAGACGCGTCACTTGCCTGCATCTTCTTACTTCTGGTTGTTCTCTTGAACTAAGTATGGGCTTCGATGAGGGACCCTTGAACCGAGGTGACTGCTGCATCTTGGGGA